CTGGTTACATACAGGATTGATATCATATTTTAAATTTGTTTTCCTCCATGATCCTTTCTTCAGATCCAATTCTCCCACCACTTAGTCACAGTTCTCTTTTCATGTCATATATTTGTTCCAGTATCTGTGTGTTTATTTGTAATTGAATCTAGATGCTCCATAGAAAAAGAAAAATTTAATAGTTTTCTTTCTGAGTCTGTCTTTTCTTAGCATGATGTCTATAGTTCCACCTATTTTTGTTCAAGTGCCATAATTCTACATTTAAATTTTCCACATCCTAGCTTGTGTGTAGTGACAACATCTCATTCTACTATTCTTTTTGTCATTTGTTTTGAATGCCTAACAATTTTGATTTATTTTAATGAGACTAATTATCATTTATAAATATATCTTGGTGACATGTCTTGTATGACTTTGATTTATTGCTAGTAATAGCTGAACATTTCTGATATGTTCTGGAAACACTGTCTTTGTCAATTTTATGATTGACACATATTATTTCCCCATCTATGGCTTTTCTTTTCATTATTTTCAAAGTATCTTAACAAGAATATTTGTTAGTTTTGAGGTGGTACCACCGACAATTTGATTCTTTTATAAATAATAAATCTTGAACCATTAAGGGAATCTTTTTTTAACCCAAGGTCAGAAAAGTGGTCTCTAATATTTCTCTAGATGTTTAGTAGGCTTAATATTTAGGTGTATAGGCATTTAGATTGGTTTATAGTCTGAGGCTTTGGACACAATTCAGATATGAAAATGGAGCAATGTCCACTAAAAACTATCATTTTCTTATTAAATTGTTTGTGCAGGATTGAGAACACAAAGCAGTCTGTGTGTCAGTCCGCTCTTCACTGTTAGCTTTATCAATCTGAATGTATTTTTTACTTAATATACTTTCCTGTGAGGTGTATAACAGGCATTATGAGTCCATCTTTGTTCCTTTATAAAATTTTCTTACTGATTTTCAAGTTTAGCATACGAAGTAATAGAGTTCATATGAATTTCATGCATATGCATCGTTATACTTGGTTCTAATTCATACCCCACCCCCACAGCTTTCCCCAGTCCACTCAATGGCTGATCTCATTTCTTAGCGAAAGTCATACCTCCAATATGCTTTCAGATCACCTGTATTCCCTAACCCTCTCCTTTTCTGCCTTGGCCAGCAAGACAGCTCTGCAGGTAAATGTGCTTACCACAAAAGCTTTATGATCTGCGTTCCAGTCCCAACTCATGTAAAGGTCTATAGAGAGAACTAGCTCCACAAAGTTGTCCTCTGACCACCACGGGAGCTTCTTGGTGTAAGTGCTCCCACATATCATCCTACACTCCCAGACAATAATAATAATTGAAGTTTAAAAAATATGCATATGAGCTGACTTAGTGGATAACAGCACTTGCCTCCAAGATCGATGACTTGTGTTCAATCCCTGTGACCCACATAGCAGGAGAACACAGTCCCACAAGCTGACCCCCCCCACACACACACATACAAAATTTTGGTTCCACATAGAGAAGGAAACTTTAGTGTTTGGCCTTCTAAATTTGATTTATTTCACTTCTAATTCCATTTCTTTTTCTACAAATATGATTTTATTTTTATTTGTTCCTGAATGAAATTCCATCTTATGCATATACATTTTCTTTTTTACAATAAATGTTTTATCAATTGAGAATTTAACACAATGCATTTTTTACTTTTTATTGAATATTTGAGAATTTCAAACAACGCATCTTGATGATATTTAGACACTTCCTTATTGTGCCCCAATGGATGGACTTGCATTGAGGGACATTTGGGGATACAAACTTGACTAGATGTGCCTTAGCACATGTGACAAAAGTGCATGTGCTGCAGTTTCCTTATTCATTCATCTGTTTGCATTCCTAACTTGTGAACAGTGCAGTAATAAACACAGAACCTCTGCAGTATGCTGCCTTACAGACATTTAAGTATATACCTAGAAAAGGTATAACTGAATCACATGATAGCTCTATTTTAAGTTTTTCCAGAAACTTACATATTGTTTTCCATACTGGCTGCACAAGTTTACTCTCCCACCAATAGTATATAAGGATTTTATTTACCCAAATCCTCTCCAGTATTCATTCTCATTTGTTTCCTTGATGTTAACCATTCTTCCTGGGGTGAGTAGGAATCTCAAGGCAGATTTGCTTTCCACTCCCATGATGGAAAAGGATTTCGAATATTTATTTAAACATATATTGGTTGAGGCTGGAGAGTTGGATCAGAGGATAAGAGCACTGCCTGCTTTTGCAGAAGACCTAAGTTTGGTTCCCAACACCCACTGTCCATAATTCCAGTTCCAGGGTATCTGACACCCTCTTCTGACTTCTGTGGACATTGCACAAAACAAAGGTACTTATATACATGCAGGCAATACACTTACACACATAAAAATAATAAAGTATTTAAAAAATATTGACTACTTGTTTTTCTGTTTTATAAAACTATCTATTCAAGTTTATTTGTTGATTGGACATTTTTTCCACAAATTTTTTATTCTTTGACAATTTCTTGTATGTGTATAATAACTTTTGATCACTTTTGCAATCCATTACACTTTCTCATCCTGACTCCTCTCCTGACATTTCCTTCTAACAAGCTCCCTTCCTACTTTGTTGTCTTTTTTATGACTCATTGAGTTTAATTAGATTTGCATATATGAACATGGGTGGGAAGTTTTTTTTCAAGAACTGGGACAACTTATCAATGACTACATCATGAAGAAAAATCCACTTCCTTCCCCAGAAACCATTAACTGCCTATAGTCCCTAAAAGAGTGGTGAGATAGTTATAAAATATGTATACTGATATTAATCCCCTGTCAGATACATAGTTGAGAAGTTTTCTTATTCTATAGGCTGACCCTTCTCTCTACTGATGAATTCTTTTGCTGTGTGGAAACATTAATTTGATAATCTCATTTGTCAGTTTGGGGGATCTTTCCTGTTCTAATGGAGTCTTTTTGTAAAGTCTTTGCTTATGTGTATAACGCAAACCATGCTTCTGCAAATATAGATAGTTTGATTTCTCCAATTGCTATTTACATCTCTCTTATTTATTTATCTTATCTTACTGTTCTAAGTTGTAGAGAACAATATTTAATTAGACTACATGCACCCTTATTACTTTCCTCATTATAGAATAAATGCTTTAAGGTTTTCTTGTTTAAATCTGTTGTTATCTACAGGCTTGTCACATATAGCTTTTCTTGGCTTGAGATATGTTCTTGTTTTTAGTTTCTTTGGGGGATTTTATCATCAAAGGATCTTGTAATTTGTTAAAGGAGAGATAAATAAAGCTTAGGTGGTATGAAAAACTATATTGTATTAGCTTAAAAACATACTGAAAAATACATATACAGCATCTCTACATGAGTCCATGTGTATAGCAGAAGGCTATAGAATGAGAAACAGCCTGACAGGAGAAACCTCCCTTCCAGTAGTTGATCAGAGTGGTCCAAGAAACTCCTGAAATAACTATCAATAGACTGTCACAGCCCTTGATTAACTCCCAGAACTTGGACGTAAGACCTTATTGCTGAAGACAGACATATTTCAGACACAGGACTTTGAGCAATGGAGCTGGAACTGATCTTGAAGCCTCCTTTCTGAAGACTAGCTCTCATAGTTCCTGAGAATACTATTCAGGCTTCTAAGGGAGAAAATCAATCAATGGTCCAACCCCAGTGTTTAAGCCTAACAGCCACAACAATGAAGAGCACAGCAAACAACAGTGCACTAGTGGCATTTTTATCTTGGGGTGGGGGATAATCAACAGCTAAATAATTGGACTTAAAGCCCTCTAAATTTGAGGGAACTTGTGTATGGCACTGTAAACATAGCCAAATACACACGGCTGCAGAGGTCATAGATCTATAGGAAACCCTTCCTCTCTCACATCCCTAGACAAATGTAATTTCTTACTGTATACTAAATATGGGTCTTTATATTTACAGATAAGTACACCATTCATCAAAGAAATTTCTGTTTTTATCAATAGATGGAGACTATTACAGAGTTCTACAACTGGCCACATGCAGAGAATTAGTGTCTTTGTGATGTCCAGACCTAAATGACACGTCTACAATGGAACCTCTATATCTAAGGCTTACAGAACATAGCAAAACAGTGGGTAGACAGGATACTTATACATCTCTCAACTCTGACCAGTGAAGCTTCTTCATGCAAAGCATAAAGAATATCACAACTAGCAAAAGTGTAGAGAATGAGACTGCAGAGTGCATGTCCCTGGATAGGACTCAGGACTCCTGTATTAAATCTCACCCACCCATGACTCAGGGACGATTGCAGAAGAGGTGTTTGCAAAGTTTTTCAGACCAGGGTTGGTGCATGATCATGAGGAAACAGAGTGTCATATGAACTTGCAGCAATGATGGCATCATGCACAATATCCATACAAATTCGATCAGACAGAAACCCAGACTCAAACTGGAGAAATGTTCAAGAGACACCATCATAGCCAATAAACTATTAGCAGGAGATTACTGCTTGGTGAGAGAGTTGATCTTCTTTAAGGGAGTGAC